ATGTTTCAATTTGGACGCATTGATACTTGTTTGTTTACATGTAAGCTGCCACTCATTCATTCGGCCTGCGCACGGCTACTTCTAACCAGCCATTATTATCCCCTTTGTCGTCGCGGGCACACTTTCTTCATTACCCACGGCAGTTCTGTATCCTATCATTACGTATTACTTACTACTCGTTGCTATCTTGATAACACGCTAATGAATCGTATCTTTCCGCGTTTGTATCTCCGCTCGTCCAACTTCTCCGTGTTCCGCCAGCTAAGTACCTAGAAACACTCTCTTCGACAATTATTCCAGTTGTACTCTAATTTTATTAATTCCCGTCGATCTTCCTTTTACCATCCCGGTCCGGTTGCGCGCCGAAGGAAAACTACAGATTAATATTTCATAGCGGGACATGCCGATTGCTCCTGAAATTATGCAAATCGCTGCACGTTTTATCGACGTTATGATAGGACTTGTTAAGTCGACAATGGCACCTCTGCAGCCAGGTCGCTGATTTAACGCCGCGGAGGATGTTATTAATATTTAAAGCGAGGATCGTATTTAACCGAGCAGCTGGGCTCGTCCAATTATCTTTCGTCGATTTATTCGTGCGCGCCGAGCGATATTTCCGATTCGAGCGTTGCGGTTAATAGACGGTTTCCAGAGCAGGCAATTTCGAAAATTTTTCGAGCAGCCGTGAAGCGAACTTGCAGCTGGCAAGTTCGGCCGTGTGAACGCTCCTTAATATTTCGTGTGTCGCCGGACAGGTTTCCCCAATCGGTAAGGTAGGACGCCATCAAGTTTAACGAGTGTTCAACTTATGTTTAAAGAAATTGCTCGCCAATTACCTGTTCGTAGGCACTGACTTTGGCTGTTTGAAACTTCTTGTAGTACGTACATTTTTGCACGATTCCTCGACGTTGCTTTTGATCCGTCTGTCCGTGTTTCCGTATTTCCCGAGCAGGGTACATGTCGTGCAAAATTCTCGTTAAGATTAGCTAACCAAATACTGCCAAATTGCCCGTCCATATTAGTCCGTTTAGCTGTTCGAATATTAGCGTTTTACCTCACAATTTACGAGTGCAGCTTTGCAAGAAGACTGTCGAAGCTGGATGTTTAATTTCTTCTTGATCTCTGCGGATCGAAAGTGTGAATGCCTCGTAGAAATTATACTCGTGACAGAAATCGCAGATAGATAAATGCTTCCATACCCTGTGCGAAAGGGCCGAAGAGGATTTTTCATCAGGATATCGGCTGCGAGAACTGCAGAGAGCTGCGATAGATATTTCGCAGCCAGGTAATACCGCAGGAAACCGCCAGATGGCAAACAGGACATCTTCCGCGTCCTTTGCAGGCCGAGCAAAGGATCTCGCTTTTCCTCCTGATGTACCGCAGATCAATATGCATAGAATTTGCTGCACTTTTGCAACAATCGACATTGTCAAAAATGTACGCAACGCAACAGCGTTTACTATTTTTTTTTACTAAGGACGATAAAGCGAAATTTTATTATATGCTCTCCGTTATCCCCTGCACAATACAAGAAGCTGTTATTGTTTAAAAAATATTGTATATGACACGTGAATTTTGGACGAAAAATGCTTTTTATCTAGAAAGGAATTAAACACTTTAAAACCTACACCGATAGTGGATACTTTTTTACCTTCGCAACGAATGCGAAAAATCCTATGGAGATGATATTCAATTTTTAATAGAACGATGTAATATTTCACGAAAAAATATTTGGAATAAATGGATATCTGTGAACCATGGAGGAAAATTTCTACCAGTACAATGGAAATGATTGTTTCGCGGACAATGGAGGATCGAATAATTGCGAAACGGACTATTTACACTGCAAGAATAGATCGCCCGGTACGCCATTATCATCCACCGCCGCGAGTGGCTCTATATCACAGGTTGATCCCCCAGAGTTTCGATCCGCGCGAATAACGACGACGAGAATCGCGCTTATCTGAAATTCTGACGCTCGTTCATGATCGAATATTCATCCCCGGCGTCCCAGGGGAGAGCGGCGGGGAGGAGCACGAGGTATAAGAAAGCAAAAGAGAAGGTAGCGAGAGCAGCGAGGGGGGCACCACAGTGTGGGGTTGGAGGAGGGAAGAAAGACCAACCAAAATGAGAGTCCGAGCAGTGCGTTGAACCATGCTGGAGGAGACCAGAAGAGCCGAAGCCACCGGAGCGATGAAGAATGGATGCTGGTTTAGCAAGAGTGCAGATTTGCTCGTGTCGGGTGCAACGGCCCCTTTGCTTTCGTGTCCATCTTCTCGTTGCTATAGCTACGCCCTCTAATACCTTCCTCCATCTTCGAATACCTGATCACCTCATTTTGGTTTTATTCGAAGTTCACGCGAAGGACGTCCATCATCCATTCGAGATCAAACGATACCTAGGATAATGTCGAATTTGTCGTTGATATCGTATCTCGCGAAAGGGCCACTGTCCCGTGAGAAAATTCGAAAAAATTATTAGCGGCCTAGCAACCAACTGGTTCCTGCTTCTTATCCTCGTCTACAAAGGAGACGATTCCCGGCGCAGGTGACTGCAGAGAGAATGTAACAACAGCGAAGAAAAAACTTGTAATAATCATGAAGCCATCAGGTGACTGTCGTCAGTAGCCACAGCGTCCGGTTCTGTGAGAACAACCGCGGTCATTAAATAAACCCCTTTTAGTGGATGCCTGGTTATCTTCAATGGCGTTTTAAAAGGGGCATTTAGGCCCATTTTGGCTACCCACACAGCCCCGGACACCCTTTCCCCCCCTCTTTCGCGTTATGGTGGTTCTCTTCACGCCCCCACCATATTCGACACGCGTCCTACCATGCTATAAGCTTAAAGGCCCTGACTTTTACGATTCTGTTCAAGTGGTCATAAAACCGGAGTTTATTGCCGTCATGATTTTCAAGCAAACGGGCTGTGCCACCTGTCGGAGTCCCACAAAAGCGAAAACGGCGTCAAGTCTCTTCATCAAGGACTCTATCAACGCGTGACCCTTTGACAATTGACTTGACGCCAATGATCGATCGAAGTAATCAATCTACGATGATGGATACACCGTGGAAGATGAATTTCACGGATTGCATTCAATTGCACGTGGAGGACACAAAAAGTTAATGAAGGCAAAATAAAAGATTCGGTAGAATGTCTCGCGACTTCGTACATAAAAACGAACGTATCGCGTTGCAATAAATCTTGCAAAAAAAATCGCACAGCCAAGATTTACGTTTACGCACGTTGCAAGTTCACGTATACGGTGTCCCGAAACAAGAACAAAGTAGTTCAGGAGAACGATCGCGAACAAAGAGTGATATCCCGAGGAGCAATAAAAAAGTGACAAATGACGTGTTTCAGCCAGAGCACACACCAGTGCACGGTTCTTGAATAATTGGTCATAAACGGCGCCGCTCGGTGAGACGCCCGGTGGTGTTTATAAACCCCTTTTTTCGAGGTTTGCTCGAAGTAGGTGGGTTATATCCTAAACATTCATAATGGCGAAAGTGAACGAGCAAATAGTCCGGTGCCGGCCCCTGAGAGCAGCTTATGATGGGCATTACTTGGCTCGTTACGGAATAATTTACGAGGTGCGAACCGCGGGGGCGATAATCCAGCGACATTTACATCCCAATAAACATTCCCGATACTGGTGCGGCGCGCGCCACGGCGCTCGCACGCCGGGGCTCGCCTCTCACGAGAGAGAGGCCCACTTTTACGGCGTTTTAATTGTACGGCCGTGGTCTAATTGGTTCGTAAAACGCCCAAGTATCTCGTAAAGGACGTTTATGATAACATTCCTGTCGCTGGTGCCTCGCAATCGCGTCGTCATCGAACAGCTCTCCGCCGGACACGCTTCACGACATCGGACCGGTTCAGAACCTGAATCGAGAGAAGTCATCATATCGGATGAAATCCATTCGGCGCGCGGCCGATCAGAAACGCGCGCACGAGCGAAACAACCACGTTCTCCCCGCCTTGGTCCCCCGTTCGGTCCGCTTGTCGATCAAGCTGGCGCGAGGCAGGAATCAGACGAGACCGCTTTCGCCAATAACAATAATCGCAAGGTGCCTCGTTGATGTTGGTCGTTTGAACGTCTGAATGGATCTGGCAGCGTTAGTTCGCCGCGAAACTCAGAGGTGGCGGTGCACGTATCCCCACGAACGGACCGGAATAATGTGGAGAGAAGCAGAAAGTGGAGAGGAGAGGAGAGGAGAGAAGAGAAGAGAGGAGAGGAGAGAGGAAACGTTGCGTGACGCGCGTGTGGCGTGCAGCTTTCGCTCTACCGCACGACGACCGACGTGTCTGTATCCGCGGCTGCTCGCGCGATTCCGCTCTGGTGGGGGCAGCGCGGGGCGGCGCCTAGCCGGTCATGGGCGTCGTTCCAACTTGGAACTACTTTCACATGGCGTAGGAATTTTCGTGCTGTGCCGGCGCGGCACTCGTGACGAATTCAATTCTGATTGGTCCTTAAGCATAACCTCCTCCCTTGGCACCCTGTTTTCTTCTCCCCTCCCGCCGCGCGCGCGAACGCCGCGGCCTCGTACCTCTCCCTCTTGGCTACCGTAATTCTATGTCTTACTCCTTTCCCTCCGTATCGTCTTTTTCGCCGTTTCTTCGCTTTCCGCCGCCTTTGCCCTCTCGAATTTTCTTCTCGTCCGCGCTTCCGCCGCATTTTCGCTACACGGCCCTGTCCAAGGTATCGGCACAGCACGGTGTTTCACGAAACCAGCACGAAATTTAATCTCGCGGCATGTCGCGGAGTTGCCCGAGCCCTCGACAGGGGTCGCTCCGTAATCGAGGGAAAGAAAGAGAAGGATTGCTCGGGTTAGCAAGGGAGAAGAGAGAAGAGCAGCGCGACACGCCGCGCCGGCGAGAGGTGGAGCGAGATGGAACGAGAGGGTGAGAGAGCAAGCGTGGAGGGGGCGTTGTGTGCGGGGGAGGGGGAGGCGAGCGACAACGGAGCAAGCGAGAGAAGTCGGTTATCGCGTCGGAGAGGGGGACGTTGCCACGAAAGACAAGGAGGAAAAGCAGCGGTGCGCGCTTCTCGTTGGAACGCAGTACATCGTGGAAGAGTGTGCGCGCGTGAGCGAGAAGGAGCGGTCGAGAGAACGAAGAGAGGGAGCGATATAGTCGTGGTGAGAGCGAGACACGAGGAGAGAAACGGGGGCTGTGTGGTGGCCGAGAGAGAAGGAGAGAGAGGACTGTTCGATGGTGGAAGCGAGAGAGGCCGATGGTGAAGGAGAGAGAGGAAACTAGGCGAACGAGCGGGCAAGAGACAGAGGACGGTACAGAGTGGCGGTACACGGGGCGCGAGAAAAGCGGTAGTGTGCCGTGGACCACCGCACTGGCATACCGTGGTTCGTTACGATCCCCTTCGTACGTCGCCTCGTACCGAACCTCTCCACAGTCATCAGCGAAGTCACATTTCGACTAGTGCTAGTGTGCAGTGCGGACAGAGTCAGCGGTTGCTTTTGGCCCCCCAATTGACAAAAACGATCGACCGTCTCTTTACCGATATACCATAGGGCCCCGGGCCTTGACCGATCCGAAATCATCGCACGCATTTTACACGCATTTCGAGAGAGGATACAGAGAGAGAGAGAGAAAGAGAGAGGTGCTCGCTCGCGAGGGAGAGATCGTCGCGTGCCGGCCGACCGAACCGTCGACGGGCGCGCACGCGGTAGAGAGACCCACACAGGCAGTTTTATAGCCCGTCTTATTACCCCGGTTTATTGCGTCGTAACAGTTTAACGATCATCGCCTGTTTTCCACCACCTAGACACAGGCCGGAGGCTCACGCCGGTTCACGATTCTCTCGCCGGTGGCCGTATCCATAACAAACCCATAAAAGTCAGCCCCCGCCGCTGCCATGAGTCCCATTCTGAATTACAATCCTACGGCCTACTGACATTGACACTGTGGGTGCACAGCCGCCGACGCCGCCTCTACCTACCGACCTATCTACCGACCTACCTACCGATGACTTTTATGACCACTTAAAAGCGGTTTAATGCCCGTTTGCTCGTCCCTCGTTGACGCCGTCACCTGTCCGCGTGAAACAGCGTGCCATCGGTACACAGCCCGGCGCGTTCCCAACGTCTCGCCTTTTTGGCGCGAACCAACCAGAATCAGCAACGAACCGGACACGAACCGATCGGTGAACGGACTCCATCCGATTTAGGGATCCTCGAGCCACGGACTAGTATCGTTCGACTAGCCGCGTGTGTGCTCGACGCAATTTAAAAGCCCCCCGGAAGCAACGGACAGCGGGGCTGGTTGCTTCAGCCTGACAAAAAGCCCCTTTGGTTGTTCTCGAGTGCCGGTGTTTCAGTGCAAGTGATTCAAGATACCCGGGATAATGAACTCATATTTCGAGCAGACGGGTGGCTTCTACGGGAGCCACCATCATCAAACGGGGGCCGCGAGTCAACACCACGATCCAGCCACCGCCGCGGCCTACCGGAGCTTCCCCCTTGGCCTGGGGATGTCACCGTACGCGTCCACGCAGCATCATCATCACACCTCGTCCTCGCTGGGCATACATCCTGGCGGTGGTACCAACACGAGGCCACCTCAGGACTCGCCGTACGACGCGAGCGTCGCGACGGCCTGCAAATTGTACTCGACGACCCCGGAGGCCACCGGTCACACCACGTCTTCTTACTCGACCACGGCGACCAAGGATTGCAAACAGCAGGACCAGGCGGCTGCCCATCAGAACGGCTACGCGGCCGCGATGGCAGCCGCGGCCGTCAAGGACGTCTGGCAGTCGGCGACCTCCGGTGCCAATAGTCAGAGCAACTCGGTGGTGCGCCCTTCCGCGTGTACCCCGGAGGGCACGAGAGTTGGGAGCTACGGTGGCCTGGTCGGCGGCGACCCGGCATCGAGTCCCGGTAACAACAGTTCCTCGAGGTCCCTCACGTCGTCCTGGAACACCTGCAGTTTGAACTCGTCCGCGAGCCAACCGGTTGCCACGCAACTACATCAGCAACCCACCGGCAGCCATACCTTCTACCCCTGGATGGCTATAGCAGGTGAGTTTACATTCATAAGATCGTTCTATCTCGCTCGGCCGTGGCTCTCTGTCGCGCGGACGATTATCATAACAGCCGTGATGAAATATAGAAGCGACAGGAGAGCTTAGGGGAGCGAGCATACACCGTAGCCGTAGCCGTAGCGTAAGGCCACGTGGTCGGGAAAGGCGTGGTGCATCGGGAGAGAGCTTACCCGGCCCGGCCCGGTCCGGACCGACCCGGCGAAATCGTGTTCCCAGTTTCACGGTCACCGGCTTGATTAACGTGAAATACACGATCGGCGTCGTTGCACCTTGCCCACGCGTTTCCCGATCAAGTCCGCTATTTTCCGAGCAAAAACGTCGCTGCCAGAAAAGATCGAGCACCGACAACGAGCCTCCCCCGATCGAAACAAATCATTCCCTTCGTTGCGTTGGTCCGGCTCTGAAAAATGGAAGACACGGTTACAATCGTATACAATCGTCGTATGTAAGGTTGACGTTGTCGCGTTACCCCGATCACGCTCGTACAGGATTTTTCCCAGCCCGGGGCTCTATTTGTGCGTCGATTGAAATACGACGTATCCGTCACGAAGCGAACCCGAGATAACGGATTTATAGTCTTCGCCCGACTAAAAATATTCCGCTGCCTTCTGCGCGAATGAATGCACTGCTTGTCGAACCGCCTCGCTGCTGCCGGGGGTTGGCAATAACTAATCCACCCGCGTGAAAGCAACGCGCAAAGTGACGCCCCGAGTTATCATTAATACCCGCCCGCGGTCTCCTCTGGAGAAAGATCGTCTATTTTCGAATGCTGGAAATTCCGAGACGTGTGGACATACTTTTCACCGCTCGATCCGATCTACGATCTCCGAACCAGGCTGTTTTTACAATCACCAATGTCCACGAAAGCATAACAAACGAGAACGATTTGTTCAACGATGGAAAAGATGAAAGAGTTCTCTGAAACTCGTTCGCGATAGTCGCACAAATTTATTTCGAGTTACGTCGAAATTACAGCACGGCCACGGTGGAATATGTTGTAAGATCTAAAGCAAATGAGTATACTCGGAGGTTATCTGGTCGGTCTCGGTTAAAAGGTTAGACGTCCGCGAACGTTTACGGAGCGGGGATAATAATTGAGGACCGATCGTTAATTACGTATTCATACGGCATTGCCTGTTCTCGTACGCAGCTGAACATGGAGATCAGAATGCTCTATTAACAAACGAGCAGATCCGATGGATCATTTTTTCTTTCCTTTTTTTTGTGTATGTGTGTGTGCCGGAGCATGCGTGGCTTTCCCATATAGGTAGGAAGCGTCAGATCGTGGAAAATCGGTCGCGCAAAGCGCGATAAAGTTACGTCTGGTGGATAGGTAGAATGGAGTCAAGTGCGTGTAAAATCGTTGGGTACGTCGAGTATAATGGGGAAGCCCTCGTCCAATTGGGGTTCAAGTGCCTTCCTCGTCGTACTCACCCCTCCGGAACCCCGAATTCCGGTAGTCAGCTGTTTCTATCGGTGTCTTTGTCCCTCTAGAGGTGGCCTAGCAGCCTCTCGCTCGGTCGTAGCCAGATATATAATCACCGAGGCCTCTCTCTCTCTCTCGGGCTCTGCCTCTTCTCCGCCGACTCTCAGCTGGGTCTCAAGTCTCAACTGTTCGTCTTAGTTGCGTCTCTCTCTCTCTCTTACTCTCCTTCTCTCTCTCTCTCTCTCTCTCTCTCTCTCTCTCATGGTCCTTTTTTTCCCTCTTGACCCGCTTCGCTTCTCCTCGGTCTCCTCTTTCTCTAGCCTCCTCCTCGCGCCCTGCGGTCCGGTTTAAGGTCCGCCTATTTTTTTTCTTCCGGCTGGACCACGCGAGAGCCTCTCTCTTTATGCATACAAAAGGTGTAGGGATTATTTTATGAGCCCTCGTGACGTAGGCGCGCGTGCTTATTCCGAGAGAAGAAACGGGATTTTATTGAACGAACCTTCTGCGAGCTCTCGGAGTCCCGTGGAGGGTGCCGGAGAATTTTTAATATTCGGTAGGCGTGGTCCTCTTGTTTAAACGCTGCTCTCTCTCTCTCCCCCTCGTTCTCTATCTTTATCTCTTTCGCGAAACGAGCACGGCTCTGAATCGGCGTCCTCCTCTCCCATTCAGCAGTCTGAAACAGATTCCCAGTCAATGAATCGCAGAGGCGCGTGTGGGGCAATCGCCGGGGAAAGTGCGGGTTTTCTCGCGACGGAAACGGAAGATATAATCGGGGCCCGATTATGAATCCGCGGGCCTTGTCCGCGATGCAACGGAATGCTGAGATTGTAGGAGGGAACCGCGTCGGGAACCGGGAATAGCCAATTGATCGGCTTTGGTTGCTCGCCGAACAGGTTCTATGCGCTTCGCGGATCGAAAGTCGGTGACTCATTTCTCTCGGCAAGTGCTCTCTTCCAGCAAGCTTGCTTTTGCTGGCAGTACAAGCGCGCGATACACGCGCGAACGAAAATTTATTGATACAGGATTATGGATTATTTCATCGTAGATCCAAGTCTGCGGGTAAATATAGAGCCATCAACGTGTCTGCCGGCATGCGCGTTCGCTATAATAAATAATTCGGCTTTATCGTCACTGCACGCGGAGAAACCAATCCGTCGAGACAGTGTCGCTGGCGCGTCGTGTCCCGCGTAAAAACACGAGCTCGGAGCAGATGATAAACAACGATTTACGACGCCTGGCCATGGGAGAAAAAGTTCATCGTTCTCGCGCTTCGGTGGATCGCGCTTCTTTCGCGTCCAATAATTCCGATCGATGCCTCGCCAGCTTTTTTATCGCGAGCGGCAACGATTGTAGCAGCAAGATCTCTCCTTATAATTTGCAGATCTAATAAGCTGCTCCGTTTCAATCTTCTGTCTTCACGAAACTCTCCTTTTAACCCGATCGCTGTAGTCGTTTGTTAACATTAAATCTCTAGCGAGCACTAAACGCAATCGACGTATGTTGCCCTGAAAGAATGACGGGTCTGATCTTGTTTAGACATCTCGACATTTCTATTATAATGTATGCTTGAATTAGCAAATTTATCGAATCATCTCCTACGAAAGAATCTTTATAACTTCAACCGTTGTAAAAGAAACAACGCGATGTTCGTCTTTTTTTATCGTCACGGTACGTTTACCGTTAAAATCTTGCATTCGTTGCCAACTCCGATAGAGTTTCTAACTCGGAGCATATTAACCGAAGTAATTATAAAATTATTATCTACATATTCACTGAAATGTAGCGTAATATTTTATAGTACCGTTTCGCGTTAGGTATTATGTATTCACGCCTCGGTCACGTTGCATGGTTCCGAGCTAAAAGAAATTAGAGTGTAGAGAGCTGAAAATCGAGCAACTCGAAAATCTGTCCGGCAACAAGAGGGTTAATGAATTCGCGTAATTTATTTCAATGCGATTGTTAGCGTAATCGTCGGTCGCGTTCATCGGTATGCCGGTTTTTCTAGTTGTCGCTAAGAANGGTCTCAAGTCTCAACTGTTCGTCAGTTGCGTCTCTCTCTCTCTCTTACTCTCCTTCTCTCTCTCTCTCTCTCTCTCTCTCTCTCTCTCATGGTCCTTTTTTTCCCTCTTGACCCGCTTCGCTTCTCCTCGGTCTCCTCTTTCTCTAGCCTCCTCCTCGCGCCCTGCGGTCCGGTTTAAGGTCCGCCTATTTTTTTTCTTCCGGCTGGACCACGCGAGAGCCTCTCTCTTTATGCATACAAAAGGTGTAGGGATTATTTTATGAGCCCTCGTGACGTAGGCGCGCGTGCTTATTCCGAGAGAAGAAACGGGATTTTATTGAACGAACCTTCTGCGAGCTCTCGGAGTCCCGTGGAGGGTGCCGGAGAATTTTTAATATTCGGTAGGCGTGGTCCTCTTGTTTAAACGCTGCTCTCTCTCTCTCCCCCTCGTTCTCTATCTTTATCTCTTTCGCGAAACGAGCACGGCTCTGAATCGGCGTCCTCCTCTCCCATTCAGCAGTCTGAAACAGATTCCCAGTCAATGAATCGCAGAGGCGCGTGTGGGGCAATCGCCGGGGAAAGTGCGGGTTTTCTCGCGACGGAAACGGAAGATATAATCGGGGCCCGATTATGAATCCGCGGGCCTTGTCCGCGATGCAACGGAATGCTGAGATTGTAGGAGGGAACCGCGTCGGGAACCGGGAATAGCCAATTGATCGGCTTTGGTTGCTCGCCGAACAGGTTCTATGCGCTTCGCGGATCGAAAGTCGGTGACTCATTTCTCTCGGCAAGTGCTCTCTTCCAGCAAGCTTGCTTTTGCTGGCAGTACAAGCGCGCGATACACGCGCGAACGAAAATTTATTGATACAGGATTATGGATTATTTCATCGTAGATCCAAGTCTGCGGGTAAATATAGAGCCATCAACGTGTCTGCCGGCATGCGCGTTCGCTATAATAAATAATTCGGCTTTATCGTCACTGCACGCGGAGAAACCAATCCGTCGAGACAGTGTCGCTGGCGCGTCGTGTCCCGCGTAAAAACACGAGCTCGGAGCAGATGATAAACAACGATTTACGACGCCTGGCCATGGGAGAAAAAGTTCATCGTTCTCGCGCTTCGGTGGATCGCGCTTCTTTCGCGTCCAATAATTCCGATCGATGCCTCGCCAGCTTTTTTATCGCGAGCGGCAACGATTGTAGCAGCAAGATCTCTCCTTATAATTTGCAGATCTAATAAGCTGCTCCGTTTCAATCTTCTGTCTTCACGAAACTCTCCTTTTAACCCGATCGCTGTAGTCGTTTGTTAACATTAAATCTCTAGCGAGCACTAAACGCAATCGACGTATGTTGCCCTGAAAGAATGACGGGTCTGATCTTGTTTAGACATCTCGACATTTCTATTATAATGTATGCTTGAATTAGCAAATTTATCGAATCATCTCCTACGAAAGAATCTTTATAACTTCAACCGTTGTAAAAGAAACAACGCGATGTTCGTCTTTTTTTATCGTCACGGTACGTTTACCGTTAAAATCTTGCATTCGTTGCCAA